GGGGAGGGAGGGAGGGGAAGGTAGGTTGAATTCGGAATACTTCAATTACCTTTTTGTAGTTGCTCTGTTTATGCTGTATTTGAACGCTTTAAATCATATTTGGGGATGGGGAAAGGTATGATCATGGCAAAAGTTAATCGTAGTCTGCGCCAAGTTCGTAACGCGATAAGTCAACTGAAAGGCAGGGCATCCTTTCTAACCGTTCTTTAGTATTTTGGCAGTTGGTACATTCACTGATGGAGAATCTTATCCAGGAGGTACTGGTTGTGTGCATAGCAAATTTATAGTAAAAGCGGTTGTAAAGCTCATCGTTAATCACTCGTCTCATGTTATCTGTTCGAATCCCCACAAAGTAATTGATTATCATGTCACTTTTTCATTCATATGTTCCCACCCTCTGACTAAATTGAAACGGTGCTGCAATTTCATTTTACGGTTCTTCGCAAGTTGACAACATTAATTATCCTATCCGATATCGGATGTCTACAAAATTAGCTAAAGGTGGAATTTCAATTTAGGAAGATTCAGCATCTACATTTGTTGTTAGTGATAAGTCTTTTCAATGTTTTATTTACACGGTGTCTAATGATGGACATTCCAACATCTTCGCGCGACTGCAGCTATATTTTTGGCTTCGTATTCTTTTAGTCACTAAACAGAATTAAAGCAAACCGTTCTACTTGCCAGGCGGTGTCTTGCCTCTAGCTACCCTTTTTATGTCGCTTTATGGGTACAATGGGTTCGCGTGTCAGTCCTAAACTTTCGTTCATCTGCTTGAAGGTCAGGCTGAATTCAAAGGTTCACCAAATGGTATGGCCGAACGCTATTCACATGCGGTGTGACTTTCGGCTCTAGCTTTAGCGATGCATTTACACTACCGTCATATGATTTTAGTCGGCAATATGCTTTTTCCAGAATTCGTCTCACCGTCGAGGTTTTGGAATGTCCTTAATTTGGGAATTAAGCATCTTTTCAAGTCGAAATTTTGTCCAGTAGTGAATGAAATTGCTTTCATCACTAGGTTTTAATAGAAAGTAGAAATTGTCTTTAAAATGTTGTCTGATGACTAAGGAGGTGGTAAGAATGCATGACAGATGCGTAATGTCTCTGTTTATTTTGATGTAAAAAACAGGTTTGCACAATGACAGAAATCATGTAAATACCATAGTCTTACCAGCTATTCTATGATCAACGGAAATATCCTTCCAATGGAACTCCTCGTTTTTTTAAAAAAGCTATCGAAGCAAGTAAAATAAACAAGAAAGTTCGGTTACTCATCACTTGAGACGGTTTAAAGACTACGGCTGCCAAGTTTTCAATGGATATAAAATAACCCACTTTTATCAAAATGCACCACTCTAATCGACATTTTTACCGCAGCTATTCGGACAGAACTAGTCAATGTCTTCTCTTTACTCCCTGGCGCTCTTTAGCCTCTGGAGAAGCTGTCGCCACGACGCCCTTTGCCGAACGTCTTCAACCTTTATACCCTCCTCACCGTAGGTGGACAATTTGCCGTCCACTTTGCTGCCCTCTACAGCCTCATGAATGCTGCTGAGGCCCAAATGCCACCTCTGTAAGTCTCCCTCAAATTAATGAACTTTTTCAACATCACCTCGATTTCACATTACTGAAATCAGTTCATATGATAAAGAATAGTTTGGTTTACTTTTCTAAATGGTGATGCTAGATTAACTGGTGTGTAGATTCTCACATTGCGCGGTTCACCAATGTTCATTTGCGCTTTCATTATTTCGTTACTTTGTTTAACCTTCTTCTGCCCAGACGTCTTTTCCGTTTTGAATTAATGAATTCCAGTCATTGTTTTTTCGGGGATATCAACTTGCTAAATGTAATTTATATACATGGGTATTCAAACTTGTCAGCCTAATTGTGTTCCTTCTCCCCTACTTTGTGTCGCTGGATAGCAGTTTATCTAGCTTTGGATCTGGATCTGATGCATTGCTGATATTAATGGCCTGACTGTGTTTGACTACTCTGTTGATCTTTTATTTGCTTGGTCTTTTCTAAATATCTTTTTCAAATCACCTCATAATTTGTGTAAAATTGCCGTCAAAATATGCTGATTATGGGTGAACTTGAGATTCCTTCACATCAAACTTTTTGGAGATGATTCGGAAGGATCGACGATAGGATTTACGAATTTCATGGTAGCTTACTTTGAAGGTTCTGGGAACGCTCTCGCCTTCCCCGAATTGTACATACGGGTGCTAAGCTGTCTGACCAAGGGGGCCTAGTCTTAGATGGTATGACTGGATGTTTCCATTTATGTTAATCCAACTTCCGTTAGTCGCTGCCTATTGCATTGGCCACTTCATTGTCCCTGCTGGTCTTCTTTATTATTTTAATAGCAGTGTTCCTTTCCAAAATCAAATTCCACAGACTACCTCGTGTCCTTTTCTCTCCATTTCTGTGCATTTTTCACTGATGCTCCTGTGGCTTTTCCCGAGATCAAAATCAAGCGCTCTTGAATTGATGTATACACCAGTGCAAACTTTGGAGTTTTGTTTCTATAGATAGTTAGGTTTTGCAAAGCCAACAAGATTGCTTGAAGTGACTTCGTTCATAACCGGATTGGTTTGGGGAATTTTCTTGTACTCCTAATGGCTTCTGAAGAATTTTGACGAGCGTACCTACCTTTGCCCCATTGACATCACCTTGACTTTGAGCAAGGCATGGATCAAAACACCGTTGTTTTATTAGTAAAGTGGTTTTTATTTTGTGACTTTTTTAGGCCCGAAGGAGAGTTAATTGATATTTATGCTGATTTCAAACCGACGGTTCTCAATACAGCAGTTTATCTTATCTCCACCGCCTTGCAAGTATGTCCAATCAAATGCTTTCCCTCTTTGCGTAGCACTCTACACAAAAAGGCAGATCAACAACAAACTATTATTTGTATTGAACTGAATGAATTTCTCCTTCGCATGGAATCCTCTAAATCCGTTAAAAATGTTATTTGATTTTGAGCTGTAATAACATTTCTTTAGGGAAGCGGTTAACTAGTAGATGATTACTTTGAAACAAGACATGTAGATAGGACACCTATTGAGTAGATGTTTAAAGATTAATTTGCCATGTTGTAGGGAGCTTGTGTGCTTTTTATGAATAATTTCAAAGACGTGCTAATCACATGATTCGCTGACTACGATAAAATGAGTCCATGTTCCTATTATGTCAGTCTAGTACTGTGTTTACTGTTTTTTGGTGTGCTAGTAGCTAATTTTGACGTCTAGTTTCATTCAACACATTTTGATATGGCAGAGAAAAAGTGAGTACTTTTTCGCTTGCCATCAATTCTGGCAATGTTTTGACAAATTGCTTAACCAATGTCTCCTGTTTCTTTTGTGGACGATAGTAGTGATGCCACTATAGATAGCTTTCTTCCAAAGTGTAACAGTGCTAAACCTTGTTCATTGTATCTTCTATATCTTTGTTTAAGAATGAAGTACACCGCTTATTCACTTAGGTATCGCAAAGTCGCACGTAACGTTAAAAGAATGAATGAAAATGCCGATTTTGTTTATCCTAATCAACAGCCACATTGGGTGGGAATGAGTGCAAGCTAACTCAAGTATACCGAAATGCAGTTGGCACCGTTGTGTAAATTGCTAAAGTGCAAGACTAATGGTGTTGCTGTGACTACTGACGCGTTTAAACTGCCTTAATTTAGCCGATGCTGAGAGGTCTCCACGTGATATTTACCAGGTTGCGCATTTCGGATTGATAAACGCTTTCGCAAAGGGGAGATGCCATTTGACATTTGGTGGGATAAGCTCACGATCTACCGTGGGCATCATTAATCAGGCAATAAATGTCAAAGGATTGCTAGATTCGTGGTTCTTGTAAAGTGTCGAAAGAGCGACTGCCTTGCGAACTTGCCACGTAGGCTAAATGTGGCCTACTTTTGTCTTGTGGACACCCGCATAGGGGTAACTTGATTTAGGATATTTTCGCGCAATAGATTTATTAGAATTTGATTTCTTATGTTTAAAATTGAAAATCTGTTATTCGATAATAGAATTTGTGGGTTTGCGAAGGATTTCCTTTGGTATTTACGGTAGGATTTTGTGCAAGAAATACAGAAAGACAGTAGATTTTTAACCAAAGTCATAATTTTTTGTCGCGAATTGGTACGAACAACAAGTCTATTTAGTGCTTTTTTATGTTCCTACCCAATCCATAGCGTTTATGGATTGTTCTTTGATAACTTATACACCAAAATGGGAAAGAGGAACTGTGTTTTCGCGTTAGAAAACGATTATGAATTAATGGAATGCAATAATCACACCAGCCTCCAGACTTTCCTGAACTTGAGCCCTCAAAATATCTAGGAACTAAAACTGGCGTTCGTTATGCTTAAGGAGTCCCTTTTGTTTGATGTTGAAATGTTTTGTAACATTTTGAAAATTTTTAAATATATTACTGCATTAATGTGTGAGAAGCTCATTTTGAATGTAAAAAATTAGCTAATTAAACACGAGGCTTTGCACAGTGAGTGGATTATTGGCACACCTTTGGCAAACTTGTAGATCTCAACTATCGCGGTGAACTACGAGGGTCACCCTTTTCGAGAGTCGCTGTTCGAAAATCGGCCCTTGCTGAATGGCCTACTTTTTGCCACCGCTGGCGTCGTCGCTTTGGCTTTTGGTGCTTTCTCCGACAGTCTGGAGTTGGTGCTTTTGGATGACAGCGTAAGTCTAGTGGTTAACACCACCGATTTTATCCACCACTTTCACCTGAACAGGGTTGATGTTTTTTGGTCATAGTTGCGTACTGGCTGCTTTCTTTGGTCTGGCAGAAATGTGGGTTCGAATATTTAAGTCTTATATCAAACATTTAAGTCCAATGACCGCGACCTCCCCTGCACTTGATTTGTTTGCCATTGTGGCATTATTTTCCATGGTGTGAGGTCAAGACTTCAATTGCCGTTGACATTTTCTGCCTAATACCATATACCCATTTAGCAAGCGATCAAATTCCAGACACTAAAGTTTTTCCCTCGAATTAAGCAATTACGGTCCTCATTTACTGTCTTTTTTGTGGTACGGGAGAGTCGAGACATCTGTTGACATCTCATATGCATCAAAATATAATGTTTCACGTCAATTAGGTTCTTTTCCTTCTACTTTGACTCTGACATTTGATTGCCATATTTATATGCAACATAAATTGTTTTGAACGGAAGTACTCTTTACAAAAGAGGCATTCCCTATGATAGATAACTTTTACTTCTTTTCAGGGCAATATATCTGTGGATGCAATTATTTTAGTAGAATGCCGCTTACGATTGGAAAATAGGGGTGAAATTTTACTACAGCAATCAACTATACTTACCAGGTGGTGATATTTCACGACTTCAGTAGATATCTAGCAACCGTCAAAATGTCACGTCTTAATTCAGGCCTCTTCTGCTCCCGCGATGCTAATTCTTTTAAATGCCGCAGATGAGGCATATCACTGATTCCTTTTCTACACTAAGCTGTATTGTGTCTGGTGGATCATTCGCAATCCTCTGGATTAGTGGATTCAGGCATTTCTGTAGAATTCACTATCACTAACTTTTCCATAGGTAGACCGAGTGCAAATTAATTGGTACTGTTGTTACTTCCTCCTCTGACACGACTACCAGCAATTCATGTCATGATCTGCTGCTGCTGCTGCTGCTGCTACCTATGCGCAAATGCTTATTTTGCACGATGACTTTTCATCGCCTTTCCCCAATTGTCTGCCATCCCTCTTCTTTTCCCACTACTGCAGTATTGCACGCCACCAAATTCTTCTTCACTGGCCAAGTTTTCAACAAAGAACATGAGCATAAAGGCATGGTAGCACTGTGACAATTTGCGCACATTTTGCCCCATTGTCGTCTGAAATCCCCACTTCGCAAATCATGAGTCTGAATTAGTTGATCCTCTCCCGCATGAAAAAGCGTTATTTTCCTCTCTTTTTTCCAGTTTCGACGAGAGGTATTGACGTTTTTTGCATTATAGTGACCAATTTGATAATTGTTTCGCAAATTTGAAACGACCTGTCTTAAAAATGCAGTAAATTTCTGCCGAAGGGCAGCGTTTTGACTATTGGATGGCTGTATCCAATTTCCCAATGCAAAAATAACTTTCATATCCCTTTCTTAATTTTGATTGAAACTTGGAATTTACTTCACCTCGGTATGTGTAGAAGAATGCATATTGTAAATCAATGGGTTAAAAGCTTTATAATCATCTTAAAGTCTACGATCCAGTCGAATGTCGTTTACATACTTTTTTTACCACAACCACGATATTTATACTCGAAGATTTGGGTATGTGCTATGCTTTCTATAGGAGTGATAGCAAGAAGGCACCAACTCTTCAAAAACAATATATCTTCCAAAATATCGAAATTATGCATTTTCGGGTGCTTCCCAGTTTGTTCGTTTGTACTGGTTATCCTACAAGACTTGTCTCCTCCATATGTAGCTGAGACTTTCAGAGTACGTATTGGTTGCCTAAATCTCAGTCTCCTTTTCGTTTGATTCTCCTTTTAGTTTAAATTGATGTAAAAGCTCGCATCTCTTTAGCATCGTGAATTTCAGTCTTTCTTTGGCAAAGTATTCATTCCCCACTAAGCGTGAAAATGGATGTTCTAACTGCCTGGATGGTTTATTGTTGTTGTCATTGGTTGTTGTTTTCTGCCCTAATGGGAGACTGCGTGAGTACGAATATTGTAGCAGCAGCAGCAGCTCATTATGACGTCTTGGACAGTTACTGTGGCAAGCGCCACATGAAACGCGATCACCCCCGAGCTCTCTTCCCGTCATTATTTTCCTCAAGATGTCCTTTAAGTGCTTGCACCGTCTCGGATTTCTTGATTGCCAGGAATTCACCCCTGTGCCTTAATCTTCATCGAGTCTTTTGTGTGAAGAGTTAGATCTTTCTACCCCTTTATTCCTCCACCTCTCGGACTGCCGCTCCTCATTTCCCCAAAGCAGTGGACACTGCCGCCTGTAGCTTTTGTATTTTACTGAAATGCGTAAACCCCCCAAGTCGCTCTAGTGAGATTTAGAAAATTGTGATAAGGTAATATACCTACGTCTCTCCACCAGCAGATGTCATACTGGACCGGTATGCCACAGGAGTGCGTTGCTTTATTGTCTTAAGTCGATACCGTCATCTAAATTTTGAAAGGTAGTTTTTGAATCATTCGTTTCTTTTTTGAATGATTGATGGGAAATACTTTCGACACAGAATTAACAACACAGGATCTCATTTTAACCCACAAAATGTGCCTTAATAGCTAAAAAGAAACGCCTAAATCTTAACTTGTTTTTTGTCTTGAAAGAACAAAACTACTGGGAATTAGAGTGAATCCCTGTTGTAGTCAATTAGTTCTTTTCGTTACGAATTTTAGCTAGCAAGGTAGAAAAGAGCTTTTTCGAAGTAATTCACTGGCTGTTCTATTAATTATTCTCGAAATCTTGGCCCATGGTACTTTTATCTGCGGTTTCCAGGGCTAAAATCGGTGTCAGCTTTAATTCAAAAATAATATTCCCCGATCAAATTAATGAGGTAATGGCCTGGGGAAGTTACCAACGAAAATGTACTGGTTATGCTTAAATAATTGATAGATGAAAACATCGTTGGTTGGCAAGTCTAATTAAAATTGCCTCTTCCCAGGGAAGAGGTGTAAAAGTCACTTTATCCCCTATGGCATTATGTCCAGGCATTTTAACTGACCTCTTGCAAGGCCTGCACGCATATTCACAAGGGTCAAACGGGAATTTTATTCAAGCGCCCATTGACCGAAAAATGCCGAGCTTCTCAAGTGTGAGCATTTTGAAAGTTAATTTAGCTGAAATTTCGTGTTGGCTGTTCTTGTTTTGTTTGGAGGATATCGGTAAGCGTTAGAAAAGGTGGGCGCTTGGTGAGGGGGTAACTGGTTTGAATAGTTTAGATTTAAACTTAAAAACAATTATCGCTATCGAGTGATACTCTATGACTATTCCCAGTTCTAAATGATACCACGTTTTTGGGTGTTTTTATTTTGTTTTATCTTTGAATCAGAAAAAAACTTCCCCAACACTGATACTATTGAGGCACAGGCAGCATGTTTACTTGGTTGGGTCGAGCTTATGATCATTTTTTACCTTGAGCAAAAGATCCCTCAGGCATTCTCTGCTTGCAGGCACTACAATTTCGCTTTACGCGACTAATTCAGTTGACTGAAGGTGTGGGCTGTTGAGCGCTTACCTGTTCAAACACAAAATAGGGTTCTTAGGTTGTGGAATGAAACGTATCCACAAAAGCAATTGTTACCGAGAAGTTGTACAATCGACCCCACATAGCGCATCCCCAAGCTGGATCGGAGAAAGAGCAGAGAAACTTTACGCGGGATCCAGATTCAAATATTTAAACTGATTTTGAAAGATTAAGAGAGCGGATAGATATGTGACACCTTTTGAATAAATCCTGCCTATGAATTGGTGAGGGCTTTGGAAAGTGCCGTACGCACTAAGGATTTCTTGAAGTTGGAATAGTAAAGGGGAAAACTTATTTTTTGCTTTTCCACCACGCATTATTCCTGATTTTCCAGTTCAACCAGCTATCTACTATCCACCCTACTTAATCTCTGCCTTTTGCTTGTAGATGCGTCTCGCCTTTTTCCAAGCTATGATCTTCGACTTTGTGGCAGCCTGGATGGTGGATCGTCTGCTCTTTCTACTATTGGGACGTGTACGTGTGAAGAAGCTGTGATCGTTAGCAGCCATTTCCACCGTCACCACTGTTTTGTTGCAATTCTTCCTTTTACTCCTCTCCTCTGCCCTCCTGTGTGCGTGTGTGTATTAATCTGCATGCGTCTTCTCGTTTGTGCCTGTGCGCCATATTCCTTTGGGCAGGTGGAAATACGAAGTGTGTAGCTAAGTGATACAATTTTTTTTGTTGTACGTTTCTCATGTCTGGGTTAGTGGGGCTAAATGATCACCCCAGGAGATGTACGGTCATTGACGCCATCTTTTTATATGGTATTAGACTTTGAGTCCTAGTAATGTTCTAAAGTCGGCATAAAGCACTTCAGTGCTTTCTGTAGACCTGTGTATTTAAAGTGTTTGCTGACTTTCTGATGGGTAGCGTGGGTAGCTTTCTTAGGACCTTTGCCACTTGACACACGACATTTGCATTTTATGATAAGTCTTTCTATGGAGTCGTATCGCAGAAGATTAGTTGAGTTTAAAAAGCCAAATTAGGGGTAGAAGGGTATTGATCTTGCCAAAAACTTCAAGGCAATTGGCATCATCTAGATTGTGAGGACTAATCGTCTTCGCAACTACTGCACACCCGAGTGAAGCAGAAGTGACTTAGTTTAGAAAACTGTTGGCGCTGGGAAGAAAACATCTTGTTTGAGGGTAGCGCTTCTCCTGTTAGGAGAGAAATTCATTTCTAGTTCAAACCATATAGCAAAGGTGATTGGCTAGTAGCATAGTGTTTGAGTCATTTCTGATGCTCTGAGCTTAAGCTAAAAGACCACTAGCCCAGGGAAAATGACTAGGACGCTGATTTGCGAGGGACGGAGTTCGCGTGGTTAAATGTACAAATAAAACAATCGTTGTCATCCACACTCATTTCCTTCATAGTAGTGTTTGGCAGCAATTCCGGGTCCGGGGTACTGGAGAGGCTTATAAATATGGAACATCTAAACCTCAGACCAGAAAGAATAGGTTAAATGCTGAAATGAAAATGTGAGTTGAATGTGCCTGGGTATGTAATTAATACCCTGCTCAGTGGTTGGTTGTCAGAATCAATCCCGTCAAGCGAAAGTAAGTATCACCTAGTCAAAATTAATTCCAGATGACTATGCTAAATCAAATGCCAAAAGTAGAGATTCCAACCACATAAAGTGCAAAGTGGGAACGCGGCCTGGCATGTTCTCTTTTAGTGTGTGTACGTGGAAATCGTACTTCCCTTATCTCGACCTCTATTTTCGTATGCACTTGCCAAGGATTTATGGTACTCACAGCATTGGCTAGTAGGGTTCGTCCCTCTTTCACTGAGGAGTTGCCGTTGAAATCACCTATTTGTCATCTGTGGATAAATGTCACGAATAGAGGTGGAAAAGCACAACCGCTGGAACTTGCCTAACTAATATCAAGAAGCAAATGTAAAAATGCCGAAATAATAACTTATTTGACTGATATCAGGTTGGTAAGGATTCTCTTCAATGGAGGTAATGTGGGAACACAACACTGGAATAAGTTTTGTAGGTTGGGTGAAGGGTAATGGTACAATGGTTCAGGAAATGAGTGAAATTAATGCAGGCTACGGGCATTCGGAGGCATCACGCTTGCGCTACCAATTGCTGGGGCTGAAGTTTATTCCAGGAACCGGAAATCGCTACAAGCTGAAGAATGGCAGTTAATTCTAAATGCTTTTCAACTCGAAAAGTGTAGTTTGATGGACCATGAAGTTCCCTGTACTAACCTTTAAAAGTGGTGCTATAAAATCATAATACGTAAACAACTTTTAATCAATGCAAACTTCAAAAAACGTATGGTCCTTTCTTTTAATGGCTTTTGAGGAGAAACAGTTTGCCATCCTAAATTAACTTTCATCGCACTGTTAACGAACAGCAAATTAAAGGGTTTCACGAGCACTTTGTCATTCTACAACCATGTATAAATTTCAATGGAAAGGAAGTCGCTTTCGCGTCATTAGAGTTGAAGTATTCCATGAAAAATGCGTTAATTGTTTGTTTAACACTCGGATTTGTCAAAGGGGTAACTTAAAACCTCGACTATTGCACCCTTGCCGAGTGGTCCGGCCTCCGGGCCATACTAGTGGCCGTTTGCCTCTACTGTTTGTAGACAAGAAATGTTCTGCCCAAGCATTGCCTCCTTCTGCCTTCAGGAAAGTCTCCGGTGGCTACATTGGTGGCAGCAGAAAGTGAAACCTGTCCTAAAAGAAAACTATCTATTGCTAGGCGATTAACTCTGGTGGAGCGGAAGAAGTGCATATGCTGTGGATGAAGAAATTGGTGACGAACTCCAAGAGAAGGGAGGAAAATAACGTCTACCTTCAGCAACTACCCCAGTCCCGCGGCCTGTAGGAAAACTGTTTACGACTGAAGCTGTACTGGCAGTCAGTCATCGGAAAAGGTACTAACGAAACTGTCCATCGTTTCTGCATGGAGCTGTCAATCATGTGAACTCGCAATACCTCCTCCACTTTTCTGCCAACTGGATAGAACTCAGATAAATGTGGCTGAGCAGACTTGAAATGACGACAAAGTAGCGAGGAGAAAAAGACACAAAATACTCCCACAAAACTGTTTTAAATCCCATCTGTTATTAAATGACTGCCTTTGGGCCAGTGTTCTACGACTAACGATGGACATGCGTGATGCCCAGTACATTCTTTAGTCTCTAATTCCAGTTTCCAAATGGAAAAAGACTCCAGATCCGGTAGAATTGCCAAAGATACGATTAAATATCCTTTCAGTTGCATGGAAATTCGACGATTGGTGCGGTTGACTAGTGGATGTTTTCCTAGAGCACCGACTACGTTGTGATGGCTGACGCGGGAGTTTAACCAAGGGGAGCGCTGGAGACGCTGCTTAAGGAGGAGAGAGGCAGTGTAATACATTGGCAGTTATTTTAACTCTTTAGTTTGGGTTTGCGGACCTCTAAGGCTTCGCCGTTGTACTTCTGCTGGGCGGCCTACCTTACGGGTCATGCCAGTGGCCTCGTGCACTTCTGTCTGTTGACATTATTTTGCCTGAGTATTGCGTTCCTTTCGTCTTCGGGAAAGTCTCGGGGTGCTGCGCTATAAAAAGAATATAGGTGAAATTTACAGTACCATTTAAGTGCAAATAGGCATTTCAAAAGATTTAACTGACTTAAAGTTATCCTAGTCGTGGATAAACAAATCTCTCCTCAAAAAATATATGGTGCTTTACCTTGACGGATGTGACAAGTTCAATCCAGCGTGCTTTATCCTCACTTTTGAAATGGGAAATATAAATAAAACTGCATGCAGTCGTGTATCACTGGTTCACCCTTTGGACTTCGAGATCTTGTAACAAAAATCATAACTACTTGTAAGGTTTCCTGCTTAGATAATTAAAGTAAAAAATTGCACTTCCGGCTTCACAAAATTTACCAAATTTGTCCAAATGCATAAAGTAGGAAATTACACCCATTTTGCTTGTCACATTCTCCGTCTAATTGTACCGCCAAATCAGCGACAATTTAGGCATTGAAAAGGATTAAAATAACATAATAAACCGGTAAATGGTAAAGGTTATTCGACTCAGTGGAAAAAAAGAGGCGCTATCCCACAGCTTCCTCTGGTTATAACCTCGCAGAAAATTCCGCCTGTCTCATTACGCTAGGGTTGTGGTTTGAATGGCTTTTCTAGTCGTAAATTTTCACGTTGTATTAAGCCTCAGAAACACCACCAAAGTGACATCTAGTAAGAACAGCGTATTAAAAATCGGTGTCTCGACGTTTGGCTCCAACCAAACAACATGCACACACACATTCACACAGACCCAGACAAGGCAGGCAAGTCAATCTTTTACCGTTTGATCACCCCTTGCCTGACCACAAAAAAATGAAATTGTTTTGTGTCCGCATTTATATGTCGCTACTTTAGGTGAGCCTCCGATTATTTAGCCCACAGGAATGTGTGGAACCAAAGGGGATCGGATTTTTCGTATGCCCAACAATTTGCCTGCTAGTTAGTTGTTAATTTAGGTTAATGGTTTTATTCAAGCGGAGTGAATTATTTTATTGTTACCCTAAAAAGATTAGTTCTACTTATCCGATGCAGGCATAAAACTGCTTAACTTGAATTGTGCTTGTGATAACGCATCCCCAACATGGAACTAATACTTTAGTACTAAGAAAGCATAGACATAGTAGTTTGTAGTTTGATGTGGATGAGAAGACGAATGATCGCCTTTCCTTTATGCGAAATAATGCAAGTGTGGTGGGAATATTGGAACACACACTGTTACACAAAATGCTACTTTTGCGGCCCCCACATTAACCAGATATAGATGCAATCGTGTTTATAAACTGCAAGTAACAAATTCGTTGGTGGATATCACCTTGTTTAAACAGTCATAATTCGCCTAACTGACGTGCAGTAGATGCCTATAGGTGGGGCCGCGATGCAAACCATTGCATCCAACGGATGAAGTATGGGAGCAATAGTCGTTAGTGAGATAAAGCCATCTCTATTGTTGCCCTTTACTTCCACCGTTTGGTCCCATTTGACATTTACTAGGCGCTCTAAGGCGTATATTTATTTGGGCAGATATTTCCGGGTTATACGCACCTTTATAGACAGAGAAGAATTTACTGGCCAGTGTTTGAAAGACTCCAAGCACTCTTTAGGATGACATATCCGTACAATTTACAGTTTAAGTCGCACCTTAAAGCAGGGGAGATAAGTGTATCATTATTAACTTAAATGGTAAATGCAATAACGCTGAGATATTTGCTAGCTACTTACAGAAAGTTAAGTTAGTACATGTGTATAATGCTCGAATGGAACTGCGAAAATATTGAACTTTCTGCGGTTCTGAAGAATGTGCTATCTTAAATATCCCTTCGAACTCCCAAAAATGGCCAAGCAAAAAGTAGCTTGTCCTAAGAAAGCAAAACAAAATCCCATGTATTCCTGGTAGTTCTTTAAAAATGCCAAACTTTTACAAAAAAGAGTGAATTAGACAAAATCTCCTTTACTGTATTCTCAAATTAACAGATGTAATAAAAAAATCACCATAATTAACTGTAAAATTCACTTATTTAAGCTGGAAAGAGGATCTGTGGTTACTTCCATTAAAAGGATTTGAAAATACAAGAAAAAAAACCGGTCTTATTTATTTACTTGAATTGAATAGGGTCGGAGAAGGCTTTATGTCGCTGCCACTCAAACACCACATATTAAAATAAAGCACTAATGTCCTAGCGAGTAAGAGAGATAAAATTTCGATGCTAAGTATGAGTAATGATGAGGTAAATCGCAGAATCAGTGCTCGTTATAACGCACCGAAGTGACATGCCGT